CCCCACTACCAGCTCCAGTTCTCTGAAGAGATTTATCTAAGCAAAAAGTGACTTTTGAGGTCTTACAAAGACTGTCAGGAGCAAGGATGAGTGGCCACCCCCGAGGAGTTTGGCAGTGGTGACATCTTTATTTACAGGGTATGTGTGTGTGTGTGTGTGTGCGTATATGTATACATGTGTATGTGTGTCTGTGGTGCATGTAAAATATGGAGGGACAGAAACGATGGCTGTGTGGTGGTATGGGGTGAAAATAAGGCAGTCAGGCAGAGATCTGAGGTCAAGAATCCTTTCTCCCCCCACACTTAAACATTTACCTGGACATGATAGTAATTATCTTTGTATCCATCCTTGGGGTGCCTCTTACTTATCGTCATGCCATACCCTAGCCACCCTTTTTTACCTATTCCATATGTGTATATTTAATTTATTGTCACATGATAATTGTATATATCTACAAAGTACGATGTGTAGTAGTGATCAAGTCATGGTAATTAGCACACCCATCACCTTCAACATCAATCATTTCTCTATTATAAGAAGAGACTGAGAATCTTGAAGGAGAAAGCCAGCCTTGCTGTCTGGTTGGGAAGAGATGCAGGCACCTAGGGGGACAGAAATCCCTTCCTTGTGGTCGCTCCTGGCTCCTGGAGAGAAGCGAGCAATCCTCATGTTTGACTGTGCTGGAGAAGGTGCTCCATGCATAATGGAAGGCCTGCCGTTTACTGACTGTTAGCTGGACAACACCTGTAAGTCTCCTAGGCAGTGAGAGCCAGGCAGGAACACTGGGAATGAGCAGGTCACCCCCTGAAGCCACTCAACAAACACCTGGAGAGTGGGTCGACCCTCAGACTCCAGGAGGCTTGCACAGAAAAGCAGAAACAGGGAACGATCAGTGCAGCACTGCCAGATGCTAACACCTTGTCTCAATTCATTTCTCAGATTATCACACTGCATGCTTGGAGACAGGAAGTAAATTAGGGTGAGCTGAGTGGGGAAAGGCTCTCAGGAAGAGGGTATTATTAGAGAGTGGGAACTGGCTGGTGGACTGCAAGAATGGCAGGACAGCTCTGAGGCCGAAGGTCATTATTTAAAGGTTCTGTGTATTTAGAGCAGGGAGGAGACAACAGGAAAGGGGGTTAGAAATCACAGAATATACAGGGGAGGAGGCTGGTGCAGGATGGGCAGGCAGACAGACAGGAGAAGGGTGGACATGAAGACAAGGCTCATGTGCCCTGCAGAGAATCTTCGCTCCATCCTTGGGGCCATCCTTCCTCCCTCGTACTATACTAATGACCTGTGGGCACACCTCATAGGCTGCTCTCTACACTCTCCCCCAATACAGCCTTAGAGCCTGGGGGTATCCACAGACCTTTCTGGAAAGTCATGGCCTGGACACTGGGAGTCAATGAGAAAGCTGAAGGGGAAGCCCTGTCAGTCCTTGGTAAAGAGACTGGGCAGAGTCACCGTTACAGTTGTGCAGGCTGTGTCCTTAGAGGACATCTAGCCAAGGGGAGAGTGGGAGCTCTTCTGCCCCAGTTATACCCCTGGCACAGAGCTGCATCAGTCTGAGCCTAATTCACACAAAGGGCCAGATGCAGCCCCAACCCTGGAAACCCCTGCCAGCCATGGAAGGGAAGCCCAAGAGAAGATGGAAACCCCAGAGAAGGAGAAATAGAGTATCCAGAGGAGGGAAAGGTGAATACCATTGTTACCCACATAGCAACATTGCTCAGAGCCAGCACACAACTATCGGTTTACTCCACTGAAATGCATGTGGTCTAAAGAAGAAGGAATATTTTCCTTATTAGCATTGAAATAATAAACTTGTTTATGTTTTTATGTTATTGTCTAAACATTGTTCAATACAGCATCTTATTGCTGATAATTATGCGAACGTTACAGTAAACATGGGACTCCTGCCAGCAGCAGGGATGGGTCTTCAGTTCTACAGCAAGCACCCAGAGTTGGCTGCCACGCGGTCACTTGACTGCAGTCTCCTGGCCATGTGTCGGCAGTATCTCCTTATCTATGCCAGGTGAAGAGCGCTCTGATAAAAAACAAATTCTTCTCTGTGGTCAGATCCCAAAATACGTGGGTGACAAACACAGTGGTATTGTTTCCTTGACTGAGTCTTGTTTTCCAAGTGGGAGGCATTCCAGACTTGAGAATTCTGTATCCAGACTACATAGATTTTTTTTTTTTTCTAATTGAGACAACACAACTAATGATAAAGAACAATACCCCCATGGCTTTTCAGCCCTAAAAGGTTCTAGGTCAAAAGCTGACCTCCCTAGAGATTGGAGAGGATCCAACAGCAACTACTGTCTTCTGTCGTTGAGCTGGACCACAGCTCCACGGGAACAGCTTTCCGTTGGCTTCTGGGGCATGGAGTCCGCACAGATGTGCCTGCCTGCTAATGTGCTGTAGGTTTTTTTTCTCAAGCTTATTGAAATCAGATGTCCAGGACTCAGAGCTGCCCTGCAAACAGATGGTGGCTCCACGCAAGCACCATCCCATTGGAAAATTACAAAAGCTATGACTCCATCTCCTCACTGCCTTGCAAAACTGCATTTTTACCAACTGGGCAAGAGAAAGACTTCCCCATCTCCATCCATACACTTGGAGGGGCCAGAGTTTCAAATAACACACTTCTAGATAGCCATGATGGTACAAAAATTTGAATATGGTAAACAATTCTGGAAGGATGTGCCTTAAATATTAACATTAGTTATCTGTGAGTAGGTGGGATTGGAATAAAAAACAAGATGACATATCTGGAATGTCACATACTCGTTTGAGAAAATCACATTCAATCCCTAAATAGTATTCAATTTGTCATAAAAAAAAATCCAAAGTTATGGGGGAAATCCTTTTCTTAATATATAATATCCTCTAAGAAAAATTTATCTTAATATACTAGATAGTTAATGAACTACTTAATTGGGTCTAAATTGTAGAAGTTCAGTCTAAGCTGTACTGTTTCTTTGAGATTTTCTAGGTCAAAATCATGTAATCTGAGTGAAATATTAAGCTAGAGTGAGTTTTGTGAGTTCATTGATTTTATTTTTGAGATTTACATAAGTAAATATATATTCATATAGTTTCAGCTCCCTCCTCTGTGCAAGAAATAAACAGCTCTATTCTTAGGGCCATTACGAGTACTGAGTGAGATAATTCATCTAAAGAATTTACTATAATATCTGGCATATATAAGACATTTGATAAATTTTAACTATTATCAGCTTTATGTAATAGATATATTTTTCTTTTAAAGATGACACCAAGATCTGCAATAAAGTAAGTGGATGAATGAGCAGATACCAATTCTTTTCTGAATTAACCTAAAATAGATGTCAGAGTGATAAAAAAAATGCCCAAGGCCCCACTCAAGTCCTCCAGCCTCCACCAACTCTTAGATCTTCCCAGCTACCCCTATAGGGAATGCTTAATCTGGTATGGCAGGAATTTAGTACTGGAAGGGAGCTTAGAGGTAGTTGGTCAGGGTCATTTTACAGATGATGAGACTGTGCCCAGATAGGTGATAACTTAGCCAACATCAGAGAGCAGCAAAGTCAAGACTAGACCCTAGGCCCTTAACCACCTCTTTTCACTTTAACAAGTAGTCTGTCAGTTTCTCTACTGGTTTGTATGTAATGATACTGACTCCTCCCTGGTGCCCTTAGGAGTGAGCTAGTTATCTCAGGAATGGGATCTTGATAAAAAGGATGAGTTCAACACTATTCCCTCTCTCTGTCTCATGTCCTCACTTCTGCCTTTTGCCCTTCCACCATGGGTTGACCCTCGTCTGATGCCAGCACCATGCTCTTGGACTCTCCAGCCTCCAGAACTTTGAGCCAAGTAAATCTTTTTTTTTTTTTTTTTTTTATAAATTTTCCATTCTGGAATATTCTGTCAATGGCCAGAAAAATGGTCTAAGTCACTGTCCTTAAAATCTGCTCCTTGCCAGTGTTCTCCATCTCAGTAAATATTACCTCTATCCAGTTGGATGCTAAAAACCTTGGAGTCATCCTTGACCATCTTTTTCCCTATTTCTCAGGAAATCCCACTTACATCATCCTCTCAATTTCCCTGTATTGCCACTGTAGCCTAAACCATTGTCAGAAAAACGATATCTCTCAGATCTCAGCTCTTACCATTCTGTCCCAGCAATGGGGACATGTTCGCTACTTTCACTCAAGTATGCTCCTGCCTCAGGACCTTTTCCCTGGCCATCCTCTCTGCTTACTATGTGTTTTTCACATTTCTGTGTAGCTTTATCCCATACTTCATTCAGGTCTCTTTGGAAATATCACCTCTTCAGAAAGACTTTTCCTGACTAAACCAACATTTACCTAACTTGTAATTCCAAAACCTTTACCCTACTTAATTTTTTTCAGCACTTATCACCAACTGACATTTTGTTGGTCATTTTTTATTTGTTTTCTGCCCAACTATTTGTTTTATTTGTTTATTTGTTTTAAGCTCAACGAGAGCACAGAATTTTTCTGTTCTGTTCACCACTGTGTTCCCGTATCTAGAATGGTGCTGTGATACATACTAGGTACTTACCAGATACTTGATAAACAAGTGAATCAACAAGGTACTTTAATTTTGTATTTCAGTTTAGTTGTTTGTGTGCTCATCTATGGTCCTTGCTAGACCAGACTTACTCATCTCCTAATTCCTGTTTCTGAGTATGACACACCTGCATGGAACAGGTGCTCGTTACATGTTCATTGAATTAAACCGAACAATTTCCAAGCACTCCCACAAATTATGTGACTTAAATCTAGTTCATATTATCTCCAAGAAGCATTGTGCCCAAAGGGTTTGTTAACTTTTCTGAGAGCGGGTCCTTCTATTTCATTATAATCTGTGCAGCAACTCTGGGGGAGCAGCCCAAAGAGGGCTTTGTATAATAGAGAAAATAAGGAGGTGTGGCCACAGTCAGCTGTTTGTAGCAACCTTTGGCCAGGCCCGGACATGTGGAGCCGGAACTCTGAGAAGGCAGCATGAGCAAATGTAACTGAAGGATTGCTTGGATCTGAGCTGCTAAGGTCACACGGCCAGTCCTGGAGGGGACACATTTGCCATACATATGCCACAAAACCACGTGGACAAACCATGGTGAGTCAAACACACTAAGATCTTTGTTCCTGTCTGATTCTGCTACACGTCTACAGACCCGAGCCACTTTGTTCCTTGGCTTTGGGAATTACATCCATGTGTTTGAGGTAATGGACTAGGGTCTTTTTTTTTTCCATCTCTCTGACCCATGCCTCCAGGCCCTGGTGTAGGAGAGGCTGTGCTATTATGTGGTCTTGCTAATAGCCAGCTCCCTTGGAAGGAGTCCAGGTATAGCCCAAGTTGTCCCAAACTCAGGGTTATGAGGGGAGCTAGAACATGACACAATGTACTCGGAAGGGATCATTTTACAGATTTATCTTAAAAATCAAAGCTACTTACAAAAATGGATTTAGCTCTGCCTTCAACTGTTTCCTCAGGCTCAAATGTTTAAATAGAAATAATTCACAAAATATGTCATTGTCTGCTTGTATTTTCTCCTGATGGCAATAGAACATTACTTAACTCCCCAGGTCACCATCAATTATTTTTAAACTAGTCTTTTTATAAAAACCCTTTATAAAAAGCACCTAGGAGACTGATTTCAAAAGCTGGTCAGAAGAAAAACAATTGTCTATTTAAAGATTGTACATTAAACTAAAATAAAAGGAGAAAGTTTTCAATATGACAAAGACATATAACATACTGGGCATTTTTGCTTTTACCTTTTTAGTGGGATGGTGCCTATACATGATTCTTATCATTGGAAACTGTGCCGGGAAACCCAACAAAATTAAAGTGCAGATTTATAGAAAAACAAACAGCAGCTGTCCCAGATCATCGAGAGCTCTGGGGCCAGAGGGCTGCTGAGAAGTCATCAGGCCCAATTGAGTAGTTCAGGGCAAAAGACATTTTAAAAATAAAAGTACAAGCCCATTGGGAGTATTAAGAAAAGACTCATCCAGTGGTTTTTTTTTAAGAAAAAAAGGCTCAAATCATCACATCAGGCTAAAGCAGCACTTTCTAAACCAGAGCTGCAAAGAGGCCACTGAGGAAAATTATTTCAGTGAGACAGAAAAAGTACCCGAGTCTTTCCTTCCCACATGGCTTGCTCAGAGGGATGGAACTCTGACCTGTCTCTAGAAAGTCCCCAAATCACAATGTTATGGTCTTTATTATATTAGTTTTCAAAGCATCGATCAATTCAAGCAGCCATTTTCTTAAGAAGATTTAAACTATTCTCAAAGCGAATTTCTTGGTATATTGTTTCCAATATATGTTACCAAATCTACAGCTTAAAATGTTCCCATTCAATGTGTACCAACTGTCAGCACTTTATGGCAGAAATGGAAAGACTGGGCAATATAATAGCAGAGACAGCAAGTATAAGTACCAGAGTCCAGATAGGAGGGGCTGGACAATTGTGGGAGGGAGGGACTCAGAGAAAAATGGGCAAAGCATTTAACAGACTCAAGAATGGCAAGAATGGAAAGTTATTGTGTATGGCAATATCTTTGACTTGCTCAACATGCAATGCATTTATGCTTTGAGAACCCGTATCATATGCTATAAAGACATGCAATGATTTCATGTACATTTTAAAAAAATGTTTCATGGTAAAATAACTTTGACCTCAAATACATGAAACTTTGTTAGAGATTCCCAGTGCATACTGACATTTTGAAAGCTTGACTTAAAAATAAAAAAGTTGTTCCCAAAAGTATTTGACCATGGAAACTTCATTGTACCCAACCTCTTTTGACATCTCAGGGGATGGTGAGCACTGGTTTAGACATTTCTGAGCCTTCAATGTCAAAATCAAGGTCCACTTCCACTTTCTATTGAGATTGTCCATTCACTTATTAAGTGGAGATTTGTAGTTGATTTCTACAGACCAAGCTCTACCTAGACACCAAAGCAAATACATAATGTCTAGGCCCAGCCACAACAGTGCATGCTGATAGATACTGCTACTCAGTAGGGTAAGGCCACAGGGAGGACCTGGGTTCAATTCCCAGCCCACTCTTAAAGCCAGGTGTGGAAGCACATGCCTATAGTCTCAGCTTTTTAGGGACTTGAGGCAGGAGGATCCCAAGCTAGTAAGATCTTGGTTTATAAAGAAGTGTCTAGGGACCAGCAGTTAGCGTAATGGCTGTGTCACTGGACTCCCATGTAGTCGACCGTGGTTCGAGTCTCAGACCCGGTGGCTTAAACTCACACCAGATGTGTGTGTGCGTGCGTGCCCAAGATCCCGAGATGAGAATGGAGGAGAAGGGATTATGGTGTGGCCATCCTCCCTGGGGATGATTTCTTGCTTTCTGTCTCTGTCTCTCTCTGTCTTTCGGGTGAGCGCACGTACCCTCTAGCAAAAACCTCTCCAAAAAAAAAGAAGTGTCTAGATTCCTGCATTCAGGTAGCTGTTGGTGTAACAGGGCAGATAAACATGTACATAAATATTAGCATTTTTATGTGATACAGGTGTCTCTGTATGCCTTCATTGCTGAAGGTCTAGATAACACAACTTAGAATTCCAGTTGCTCACTAAGTATTTCCTGTATATTCGTCTTATCTCCTCCCCTATATTGCTTATTACTTACAGGTAAGGCTTATGTCTTATACTTGTCTAGTATTCCCCATGGTACCTAGCGTAGGGTTTAGACAAACAGTAGGCTGTCCAGTGACTACTGGTTGATTGACTGACCAAAGAAGAAATCATTGATAGATGATCTCTTAAGCCTTTTTCAGTTTTACAGTTCTAAGAGTCTTTCTCAAACATTGGTACAGTCCTGTGCCTACAAAATTATGGTGAACCACAAAAGTATTGAATAATTCATTAGCTCTAGTTTTCCAGGGGCTTCTTAATGGCACAAATGAACAAAATTAGTGTATGCTGCCCCTCGGAATAGACAAGCCACTACAAACTAAAGCAATTTATCCTCTGCTTACAGACATAGTGTAAGTGTTAGGACTTAAAACTTAGTGATTTGACCTTGTATTCGGAGAACAGCCAAGTTTCTGATTTTACATATGGGAGTCCTGGGAATCAAGCGAATGTTTAGCTAGTCATTGTAGAATTTAATACAGATTAGGGTTAGCCACAATTGGTAACACTTGGGGAGTTGTTAATTTCTTGTTGGCAATTTCACTGCAAACTCCTTTCATAAATTTCAGATTTAAACTTGGCCTTGTCATCCAGATTTTATGCACATTTATTTGATTTACATATGCTGAGTGGCTTCTAATTATATGATCAGCTAGCAGACAGCACCTCTGGTGCTTTATGTGTTTGAAAATTTTTCAGAGCCACAAAGACAAAATTTTATAAGTGAATAAGAAAGTAGAGTTCGTAAGGATAAATGGCATTGGCTTCTATTATGATAATGCAAGATTTCCCAACTTTTGTACATTTTAAGCCAGGTGATCCTTTATTGGAGCAGATGGTCCTGTGCATTATAGAAAGTTGCAGCATCCTTATAGCCTCTACCCATTGAATGCCAGAAGCATTCCTCCTTTCTTAGGGCAGGAGCGGGATGGGGAAAATATCTCCTGGTTGAGAATTACTGATGACCAAAATCAGTTCTAGACTAACGGTAATTGAAATTTTTATTTATGGATTATCAGTTAGCATGTGCCCAGGGAATGAAAATCAATGCTTACTGTAGTTCATAACTGTGTTCTTTCTAGTCTGTGTAGCTTGAGACAATCTAGCCTTTTAGAGTCTCAGTTCTCCTTATCTGTCCAAAAAGAGGAATACCTACCCCCCCATCTGGTCATAAACATGGTGAGCCAAACGCAGAAAAGCTCCTAGCATAATGTCTGGCACGTGGCAGACATGTATTAATATTCTTTCCTCTCCTTCCATTCCTCCTGTTACTCCTCCTCCTCCTACTATTTCCCCCAAAACCTGGGATGAACATAACCAAATTATATGCACTACAAATGGTTTGGTGGTTTCCTTCCAATTTTTTCCTTCTATAGCACAGATAATCAGGAGCTGACGTTATATTCAAACCTTATGTGTGCTTTGGAGAACAGAATAGCATAAATCAACAGTAAATAGAAAAGAATCGGAGTCTTCAACCCTTTGCATTCATTTCTAAGAACTTCCAAATATAGGGAATGTGTCCACACACATCAGAACTGTTCTTCAGCTTCTTCTTCTTTGTTTAATGGGCTAAGACTGTAACTTGACTAAACAAAGAGGCTGCTCACAGATTGATCATATCCCCCACCTGCACCCACACAAAGTCATCAAATAGACTTGGTTGCTTATTCAACAACACCGACTGAGCCATTGAAGAATGAAAAATCCCAGACTAGGCACCATGGGGGGAACGCTAAATGAAAACGTATCTGGTATGATCCTAACCTGAAATATTTACAGAAAGGACATATGGAAAGGTTTATAGACCTTATTTTCATTATAAAGGCATTATAACAACATTACAAGCCATTTGGAAAATGGGGGTGGGGGGAAAGCGATCACCCAAAGTTCTAACACTCAATACAACTGTTTTCATTTTATGTATTTACTTCCAGGCTTGGTTCCTACCCATCTGTGATTTCCCTTGCCAGCATGATTTCATACATATTTTTCTTTAACCTGTGTTTTCCTCCATGTTGCACTAGACCACAAATATTACCCATATTCTTATTGTATTTACTGTTCTTTTATTTAATGACTGCATAGAAGTTTTTGGGAAAGGGTTTTCATAAAATAATGATTAACTATTTCTACTAAAGAGCACTTGGCTTCTGATTTTGCAATTGAAAATAATTTAACCAGGTGGGAGGGTGGCACAGATCATAAGTATAGCTTTGAACCCTCTCTGGTTCATTTTCTTAGAAAAAAACCTCAAAAGTAGGATTAAAAATATAAACTATGGGCATTTCTACAGTTTTAAATATAATATTGACAAATTATTTAAAATACATTATTCTGATTATAAAAGCTACTTATCATTCAATACAAAATAATTAAAAACAGAAAACCATAAAGAATAAAACATTTAAGGGATACAAAAATGGAAAATTATCTGTTGATGATAACATGTATGATATAA